AGCATGTTGTTATGAATTTTAAACATAAATAACAGATTTTGATAGATGTTTAGTTTATAAATATTTAAAACATTAATTTTTTTAAGTAAAGACTCGGCGCATGCATATCTACCTGCATTCAAAATTAAACGGCTCGCTTGCTTTTGTTTGTTAATAATTTTTTTTAAAGAAGATGAATAATTACTTGCCCACGCTATATTGCATAACTAATGTGACTATGAATAAATGAAAAATACAAGCTTTTTAAGCACATTATATTCAAAAGGTGCATCGTTTTGAAAAGGATCCCAAGAGCTCTTGAAATGCTGTTTTCCACTAATTGGATATGTTTTTTCCAGTTTAAATGATCGTCAAATATTATACCTAGGATTTTCATTGAATGAACTCTTTTTACTTTAATGTTGTTTATAAATAAATCAGGAAGTTTTAGGGGTATGTTATCAGCTTTCGAAGGTTTCGTGAACAGAATGTATTTAGTTTTATCAATGTTTACGGACGGTTTATTGGCTTTAAACCATTCATTGAGATTAATTAGCTCTGTGTTTACAGTCGAAAAAACAAATTTTAAATTAGACCCCGAAAAAAAAATATTAGTATCATCAGCAAAAACAACAAAATTAAGGAATATAGAGGATAAGTGGATGTCATTGATATATAAGAGAAACAGCAGAGGACCAAGTATTGAGCCCTGAGGGACACCACAACTAATAACTTCTAACTGTGTACAAGTTAAATCATACGTCACACATTGTTTACGATTTTGTAGATAAGACTCGATCCATTTTATATTAGTATTTTGAATTCCATAATTTTTTAATTTATAGAGGAGGATTTCGTGGTCGACAGTGTCGAATGCCTTCGAGAAGTCAACAAAAACTCTAAGTGTATAATTATTGTCATCAAATCCTTTCAAAATATTGCTAGCCAAATCCATCACAGCATGCTCAGTGCAATGATTTCTCCGAAATCTAAACTGTTTAGGATATAAAATATTGTTTTTATCAATGAAGTTATATATTCTATTATACGTTCGAAAACCTTTGAAAAACAGGAGAGAATTGAGATGGGTCTGTAGTTTGATTCTAAAGAATCGTCGCCGTTTTTATAAATTGGAATTATTTTAGCAAGTTTTAATTGATCAGGAAAGTCCCCGTTTTTTAATGAAAGATTAAAAATATTAAAAAGAGGCGATTCGATAATGTCAAAGACACTTTTCAAAACATTTGCATTAATTTCATCAAGACCTGCACTTTTATTTGTCTGAAGCATGTCGAAAGCTGAACCTATCGAGCGCCACGCTTTTGGAATAAAATTGTTTTGCCGAACTTTAATTTTGAAGTACCCATTACTTTTTGCCTTTAAAAAAAAATTCAAAAACCTCATTCTTTCATTAAATAATATATTGAGTCATTATTAGTAAAAGTTAAAAATATATTTTGGTGTAACTTTTTTATTGTTTATATACATGTTTACGTTTATAGAAGTTTATTCCTACCTATTTATTGTTCTTATACTTTTTACTTTTTAATTTATATGTAGATTTACTCTTGTATAAAATTCTAATGAGAAGATCCTCTTGATATTTCTTCATGATTATTTACCTTGCAATTTTGTAAAAGTTTATTAATTTTTTTTTATTTATCTTGTCCTTGTTAAACGCTTATTTAATGTTCTGACGACAAAATCTTCTTTCAGATACTTTGTTTATATTTGTTATATTTTCTATCATTGTAAGTTTATGTTATTATTTTTATTATTCTTTATATAAACTACTAACAAGAGTACTTGTACTAACAAATGTAAACCAAAAAATAAAAATTTTAAGCACTAATTCAAAATAATTATATTTAGCACTTTTAAAAACTTTATTTTTTTCAAAGATTGCTTTCAAATGTTCATAAAAGACGGCTAAAACTAAGTATATCAAAATTATAGGCATTCACTGTTTATTTATGCAAAAATAAAAAAATTTAATATAGCATGCGTTTGCAATGTTTCGGTCCAGGTAACCATTTTTATTAAACTTTTCTATTATATTATATTTCTAACGGAAAGATAAAGAAAAAAAGAAAAAAGAAAAAAGACATTTAAAGAAAAATTTTAGTAACTAAACAATAAATCTAATCAGTAAAAAAAGTTAAAATTTTAAAAAGAAAGAAATTAAAATTAAAGAAAAAAGAAATAATAATTAAGTGCATATAAATTAAAAAAAAAAACGTCGAAAAAAATCCAAATAAAAAGGAGAAGGAGAGAGCTTACGTCATATAAACTTTAAAAAGAATAGACAAAAAAAAAAAATTCGAATTTTTATTTACCTAAATTTAAATAAAAAAAAAGATAAAAATCAAAAAATAAAAGAAATAGATAAGAAAAAGAAAAACAGAAGAAAATAAACAAAAAAGCAGGAGAAGAAAGAAAAGATCAAGTTTCAGAAGATATTTTTGTAGCCAGTCTTTGTTGTAATTATCATTTTTTTTATTTTATTTTAATTATGAAAAATAATTAATGTTACCATTAATTATATTTATTAAATATTATATTTGTTAAATATTATTATTTTGTGTAAGCATTTCATTTTGTAGTTTTTGTGTTTCTCTTTTCGTTTGCGTAAAGTTTGTTATTATTTGTGCTAATTATTTTTATTGTTGATTCCTGTTTTTTTATTTTACCAAATTTTCTACACCTTTTTTTTTCTTTATTTCGCAAAAATAACTAAAGTTTGTTCTATAAAACTTTAGCTGTTCCAACACTAACGTATGGTCTTGAGCTGTGTGAACATAAAAAAATGTTAACGCAAAAGCTTGATATAGTTGAAAAAAATCCACTTAAGTCACTCCTCGATGTTTCAAAACATAGCAAAAATTATATTCATACCTTATTTTTTATTGAAGATATATCAATTATTATACAACAAAACAAGCTAAACTTATTTATTCGTTTGATGAACAATAAAATGACATATGATGTTATTAGGTCGCAGCTGAAAAAAAAAAAAAACAGCCCCACAACATTTTTTAGATATTATCAAAGGGTTGTGCAATAATCATGAACTAAATCTGGAGACAATAATGGAAAGTAAAAAAAAAAATAAAAATTGTCGGCCTCAAAAATTTAATTCCTGAAACGGATCTTCAATCTCTAAAATGTGCAGGTGAGTACTGGAACTTAAAAGAGCAGAGAACTATCTTCAAGGACATTCTTGAAAAACAGATTCCAAGATGATCACGTTGAAACAAAAAAAAAAAAAAAAAAAAAAAATTTCCAAGATTTTTTATATTTATCTTGTATGAAACTCTTAATTTACCTTACTTGTATAGTGGGTGTTTAATAAATCTAAAATAAATAAAAAAAACTTTGAACTACAATTACTATATTCACTAAAATAAAATTTTTCACTATAATAAAATTTTTAAGCAATTTTTTTTGTTTAGTGGCTTTTGTTAAGAGCTTTTAAATTTTGCGTCAAATTATCTTATTTTAACATATTCATTGTATCATCCGTTTTTCAAAACGCCTAAAAGTTAAAAATATCATTTTTGACTTTTTTACAAAATAAGCTAGTTTATATGTCTACAAACATTATTGAATACATATTTTCAAAGATTTCTGAAAAAAATTCATTAAAATTATTCGTTTCAAAAAACGTTTAACAAAGAGTTAATTTTAAATAACTTTTTTTTAATTGCGTTTTTCTCGAAATACGTAATAAGCATATTAAGGCGTTTTGAAAAACAGCTGCAGCATATATTTATGGTAAAAAAATAAATGTAGCTAAAAAAACTTTTGATTATCAAAAGGAAGTTTTAAATTTTTTCCTAGCTACGGGCTTTTTTTTTTTGCCTCCACAGCAGCACCTTATTGAGTAGCAAGACTTTCTTATTTATTTAATATAGTTTTTTCTTTAGTAAGTTTCAGACAATTTTTATTTCAGACCATCCGCAGCTTATTAGGACTAATTACCTGAGCACAATAAAGGTGAGTTTCCACTCATACGTTTTTTCAAGGGAACGGGATAGGAAAGGGAAAAATAATCACGTGAGCATGCGTAGTTTTCCTTCAGACATATTAAAACTTATACAACGCATGCCCACGTGATCATTTTTCCCGCTCCCGTGAAAAAACGGATGAGTGGAAACTCGCCTTAATAACATAAGTTCTCAATCATCATACATACGCAACGACTTTTTTCTCCCGGTGATGGTTTTTTTTAGCTTTCTTAAAATCTTTCCTTTTGTGAGTGCATAATCGTTACGTTACATATGTTTGTATATAATAATCTTTATAAAACTTCGAAAATATTTTGTATTTTAAAATAATAAAAAATAAATAAAAAAATAGCCGCCATAGGTAGGAGTCGAACCTCCTAGTTCCTTGTTCAGAAGTTCGACTTGAGCTACTCCGGCATAACATATGGCGTAGATTTTATAATAATGTAGTGATTTTTTTGAGGAAAAAATCTTATAGATCAAAATTAAGGAGAGCTTGACGCAATGTAATTTTCAAGTGAAAATCAAACTGAAATACACGATGTTTCAGTATGTTTTAACATATGCTTTAACATTACTTAGTTTAAAGTTTACGTGCGTTAGATATTCGTTCACGTTTTCTTATAGTGCTGCGACTCTTTCTTGCCAATACCTCGGTTGCAATGGCTGCCAAGGGTTTCGTGTCAAATACGCTCCAAGGGACACTACTATTAAAACTATTAAGTTCGGCAATATTATATAGAAGATTATGTCTATAATATATAAGAGCTGCAAAAAAGTGTTCTGACAAACCCTGCCGTTAGAAAATGTTGAAACAGACAACGGGTTTGGCATGAAATACTGCATGTCTACTAATGGCTAATATATATAATCTACTAATATATATATATATATATATATATATATATATATATATATATATATATATATATATATATATATATATATATATATATATATATATATATATATATATATAATCTTATCTGGTGTTATCATTGAACGTGTAAATTATTAAATTTAATATTTTTATTTCGAAGTACAAAAAAATTTGACATTCGATAGTTCTATTATTGCAATTGTTAAAAAAGCCTAAGTCAAACTTTTGCTGCAATTACTTGTTGCAATTATAAATAGGAACCAAAACTTCCCAAGCGATCTTTATGCCTACTCATTTCTCGCATCAAACCTTTTTACTTCGAGACAATCTTTTCGGTTTCGATCCTTTTCTTACATCAAGCTTGTTCTTCAACTGACCGTTTCTAACAGAACGTGTCTATAAAAAAATAGAAGAAAGGTTATAATTTCACAAACAATAAAATTGTTATAATTGTTAGCATTAAAATTACTAATGATTCAAGACAACTGATAACGTACTTTCTTTGAATAAAACTTTTGTCTATTTTGTTTTATCGATGTTGATCGCATTTTTAATGTACTGCTTACACGACTTTCTAACGGCTTAACTCTAAATACGTAAAAACATATCGTTAGCACAGTTTAGTATATAAAACTAAAATGTAAGTAATAAATAAAAAAACTAAAATGTAAGTAATAACATTAAAAAATAGTAAATATATTGAAAATTCTATACAATTCATAAAAGCATAAAACTTTTTATTAGATTTAATTATTCAAATTATTTCATAACATTTTTAAATAAAAAATTGAGCAATAAATTTTACTTGTATATTCTGACAAGCCAATGCTCCGATGTAAACGCTTCTTCTAAATGTGTAAGTTTAAAGTTCTTGTTTCCTATTTCTGTATTTCGAGTGCGATCATAACCAGAAGGTGATCGATGATCCAACTATTTAAATTTAATGTATTTTAAGTTATCAATTCGGGCTTTTTTTTCAAACTTAAAATTTCAAAGGTATTTTAAAATAAGTTTTTTTGATTTTGTAAATTCAACTTTAGTTTAGACTACAACAAGAGAGAATGCATTTGTTAAGTATTTACATTATTCAAAATGTGATTGCGCCAAAAATAAAAATTCTTACGTAAGGCAGCATTAGAACTTTCATTCACGACTCATGCATACTATAACTTACCCTGAGATCACCGAATCTATAGTAGCAAAGTTTGTACATTAGACAGTTTAATAAAGTAGGCGAACCTCCTTTATCAACACGAAACTCTCCTTGGGGAGTGAAATAATCTGATTCCTAAATATATATATAAAAAAATTGAAAAATACAAGTCAGTCTTTTAAAAAAAAACAACTAACTAATATTAATAAAAATAATTTTTGTTAAAAATTACACATTAAGTGGTTCCATAGTGACATTCTATTGTAAATAGAGGGGAGCGATTCTAATATGCCATAAAAATGCACCCCTGTGACATCTAAATAATGTACTAAATAAATACAGTTGATACTATGTCAGTTATTAAATGGCACAACAGTTGTCCCTTCAGTAAAATTACAAATGGCAAACTTTTAATAGCATGCAAAGTTAAAAAAGTTGCAAAGTAAAAAATATAATTGCTTTGAAATTTAGAACTGTAAACACAAATTTATTGCAATCAATTATTTAGAACTGCAAACAAAAGTTTGTTACAATCAATTATATGTACCAGCAATCTTGTATTTATTAATAATTTAAAGTAGTTCATTTAATATTAATAACATTAATATTTTTTTCTTTTTTAATATCTATAAATTTTTTAGTTTCTTTAACATTTGTTCTTTTGTACTTGACTTTTTTGTACAGTTTTGTAGGTATTGTTGACTGGATTTTATATTTTTAGTTTCTCCCTGAATTTCTTATTTATTTTGTATTTACTGTTTATGACATAGCTTCCTAGGTTCATCAGGTAGATGATGAACATACTAACCTTCCTAATACACCTACAAAAGGAGAAACATCCTGGCGAAGAAAAATTTAATATATAAATATATAAACGAGTGGTTTTACTAACTTTCAAATATAACTTTATATGTAATATAAATTATATATATATATATATATATATATATATATATATATATATATATATATATATATATATATATATATATATATATATATATATATATATATATATATATATATTATTAGATTATTTCTATTCTTTTGGTTAACTAAACCTCTTTATTGTGAGTTCAAGTTTTTTTTTGCATCACCATTATATTTATTTAATTGCAATTAAAAACGTAAATAAAAATTTCTTTGGTTTTGACACAATTCTCACATTTTGTGCTTATATCAGATATTTCTTTGATTTGATATAACTTTTGTACAGATTTTTGGTTTCATGCTTTTGCTATATTTTGCTGTATATTTAAAAAAATTCAATTTTGAAAAAAAATTCATTTTTTCATCTTAACACTATAATAATAATATGTTTTTTTGGGCCCAAATAAACATAATTTCAAGCACCAATAATTTTTAACTCCTAAACATTTGTGTTCAATTTTGGGTTAAGAAGAGTGCAGATTTTTTTTACTGTTTCTCTACATTGACTTAATATAAGAATAAAATTTTAGAATGATATAAATAATTTACATTTTAAAATGAAAAACCTTTAAACTTCCACAACTAATAATATTGTTGTAATACCCTTATATCTTTTGGATGCTCTCCTTCAGCTATTCTCACCATCCATAAAAATTTGTTGATATCATCACCTGAGTAACCTATTACACCACCAAAAATGACTAAAACATAATCAACATCTAGTTTTCTCATGATTTCATATGCAGCAGACTCATTTGAGGACATGGCTTTACCAACTAATGCGATATGACTATTGTTCCAAGTGTTGTTGTCAACTAAAGTTGTGCGATTTGCCATTCCAGCTATTTGATATCCATAATCCCACCAAGACATGACCCTGGGTAAAGGTTTTTTTTTTAATTGTTAAAAAATAAAGCTAATTGTTGCATAAAACATAAAAAAAACCTATCAATCAAAACTAATCATACCGTGCATCATCAGCAGTATTTTGTCTCAGCCAAAAATAAGCTTCACGAAAGTCATCCAAAATGTTTCGAGAACTAAGGAGAAATTTTATTAAAACAATTTTTTTAAATTAAAATATAATTTTATTCTTATACAAAGTCTTATATATTTTTTAATGAATATAGTCTTAACATAATTGCTACAGTTAATGTTTAATGTTGTTTCGCTTTTATTTTTAAAGCAGTTTTAATTAGTTACTAGGCTTTTCTAAACTTGAAAGAGCGCTCTCTCAAAATGCACGCGGTCATTAAAGGAAGATCGAGCAAGTGAGTTAAAACTTTTTACCTTTTGAATTGAATTATTATTTATAAGTTTAGAAATATTACATAAAGAATTAATTTAAGATAAATAATCATCGTTAAGATCATATTATAATTGAATTATAGAAAATAGTTTAGCAATTTATATATAACATTTTTATTAGAAATAAAGTGGAAAGGATCACTCCTTTTAACTTTCTAAATCGTTTACATTTTGTTTGTTTTAGTTTTCTTTTGGCTTTAATTTTTTCTACCAGTTTTGTTTATATTGAGCATATCTTCTATTTTTTAGAAGGAAAACAAGGGTATGGATGAGGCCTAATTATTTTTTATGCATTTTTTATGAAACAAAAAAGTTATACTAATGCTATTTCAATAAAATTGGTTATTACTACCTTGAAATTTCTGTGATGCTATTAACTGTTTTTGCTCTTTTTTAGAAAATTTAGAAAAAAAAAATTAAAATTTTGTGCCAACACTGACATGTCACATGTTATTGTATGTAAAGATTAAATTTTTGTTATGAGGATTACAATTCTTATGAAAAAAAAAAAAAAAAAGGTAAAGAGTATTGTTTGTATATATATATATATATATTTATATTTTGCTTACTTTGAATCTTTTTAAATTTTCTCATGTCATTTTTAAAATTTTTGTTTGCTTAATTCAAGTTATATATGTTTATTTTTTGCATTGGTTTTTTAATAACTATGTGTATATTGTAATATGTGCTTTATAGCTGTTTTATCAATGTGTTTTTATAATAATGTAACATGTTTTTTTACTGTTTGTGTATGTGTTTATATGTGTTATATAATTGTTTTATAAATGTGTTTACATAAGGTTAAATATATATATATATATATATATATATTGTGTTTGTAGTTGGTACATTTGTTTATATTATGTTGTTTCCTTATATTTAAAAATTAATTGTGTGTGCTATTTAGAGTAGAAAAAAAAATTATATAGAAAAGATCACAATCTTCAAGATTCTTTTAAGATTTTTTGTTACTATTTTCAATTAAAAGTGAAGTTTAAATGGATGATATTAGGCTAGAAGCAGATATTAGTTTAGAAAATGGAAATGTTAATAGGCAAATTAATTGTTGCAGAAATGAAAGAGATAGGCTTTGGCAATGAAGTTAATAATCAACAAAATGTTAGGTATGCTGCTTAGCAAGCAGCAAATAATTTGAATCCAAATGAGAAGAGCGTGGTTAGGCGAGTTAAAAATAATCATCACAGAAATGAAAGAAATAGGCTTAGGTGAGATGAAATTAATAATCGACAAAATGCTAGATATGCTGCTAGATATGAAAGAATGGATTGTATAACAAGAAGTAATATTATTCCGGATTATAAATTTTTTTTCTTAATTTGTAATCATTTTTTTAAATAATATATTATGTTTTATACTTGATTTATTTTGATCTTTTTTAATAAAAATTTTAATTTTTTTTCACCAATTAAACTTAAATATAGTTAAATTGATTCATTATCCAATTATCATAATATAAGGATACTACATTCTATTGTTAAAAATAATTAATTGGTAGTATAATTTATTAGTTAAAAATTTAATTAATAAATTAATTTGGTAGTTAAATTTATTAAACTCGCTGTTTTTAAAATTTACTATAAGACAATATATTTAGCAATATAAATCAATTTATTTATATCTCAATTTGATTTTTTATCTTTGATGTTTATAGTTAGGCTCCTTGAAGCATTTTATATTTTCCTTTTTAATTTAAATATTTTTAAATTAAAAAGCTTTAATTTAATTTAAAAGACATCACTATTGTGATGTCTTTTAAATTAAACTAGAGTTTACTAAAAGCCAACATGAAATAACGTCATTAAACAACACTGACAAGAACTGCTGCAACATGACAACTGAAGTATGACAACAGGTTACCAAAAACAGGTAAATTGTTTTCCAGTACTTTTTTTTTCTTTTCTTTTATGTCTACTTATCTGTTACAATTTTTATTTTAGGTTTGTCATATGACGCATTAATGCAATATAAAAGATCAAAGTTGATATTTTTTTAAATTTGTTATACACATGTTTGTAAAATAAATTTTTTTTGTTTGAAACATATTTGTACTCAATTGCTAAGTTATAATAAACTTAGTTAAGTTATTTTAAACAAAATTATTTAGTTGTGTGCATTCAACATTTTTAACAATTTTCTTTTCTAAAGAAAAATTAATAACTCCTGTTTAATATAAGTTAACTCCATATTAATTTTAATAATTAAAGTTCATGTTAAAAAAATATTACAAGGATTTAGTTGTCAATGTAATTAAAAATATTTTTGTCAATTTAAAGAATGATGAAGTATTATTTAGCGTCAACAACTAAAAACTTGTGTTGAACTTAAAAATGTTGATGACCTATGTCAGTTGTAAATTACTCAAATAATGTTAAATAATAATTGGTAAATTATTTTACCTCCTCATACTTTTTATGTATACTTTTTATTTAATTTTTTCAATTTGAAGGCGTTTTTCTAAAAGTGTATTTGTTAAGGTTTTGCAACTTTAAATTAAAACCAGCCACCATAAACTAATTATGTAACAGACCAACCATAACCAGTATTACGGGTTGCACTTTGCTAGTTAATATAAATGCGGGTTTAAATAACATGACTGATGTCACACTGAAATAGCTGCTGGGGACTTCAGTACATGCATTCAATATCCTTTAGCCTGCTGGGATGGGGTAGCAATCTTTTCTTAAATTATTCTTTATTTCTTTCACTTTTTTTGAAAAAGTTGTATACTTTCTAGTAACACAACTAGTAAGCAATTGCTGATCTATATACGCTATAGTAGATACATATATATAAATTTCATTTATATATACACATATATATATATATATATATATATATATATATATATATATATATATATATATATATATACACATACTGCTAGAAACATTGTTTAAAAACATAATTTAAGGCGAATACAAACTCTTTTTTTTTAATTTTTAAATACATATTTAAGATAAATAATATACAAATAATATGTATAAACTCTTATATAATGTATAAACATGTATAAACTCTTATATAAATGTATAATTGTATAAACTCTTATATAATATGTATAAACTCTTATATAAATGTATAAATATATAAAAACATGTATAAACTCTTATATAAATTTATACGTTTGACCTCTAAAATCCTGAAACTTAGTAAAATCGTCTCCTTTAACTTGCAATATACACGCAAATATACACAAACATCTCCTTTATTTTTTTCATTCTTGCTCATATACCGATCTAAACTTAGTGCTTATTTTCCTCTAAAAATATATATTAAATAAAGCTAACCTACATAGATTAAAAACATGGTAACTAGGTTTCATGTTTGCAATTGTTTTAAAATATGCAAAGCGCTGGAAAGATTCAATATTTTATAATAAAAATTAAAGGTGATGCAGTTTTGTCGCCTTTAAATATGTCATCTTTATTGCGCAATATTTTATACTAAGTGTCGACTTAACCACGAATATATATGTATGTATGTATATACATATACATATATATATATATATATTATATATATATATATACATATATATATATATATATACATATATATATATATATATATATATATATATATATATATATATATATATATATATATATATATATATATATATATATATATATATATACATTTATGTATATATATATAACCAAATTCCTTTTAAACACCAAAAATATAAATACTTTTTTGTAAACAAGACAAATTTTAAAATTTTTAAAACTTTTATCAATAAAAAACAATACATTTTTGTTTTGACTAACACAAGTTCAAGTTAACTAGTGTTAGTTAAGTTTTGACTAACACTAGTTAAGTTCAAAGAAAACTAGTTATTTAAGTGCTTTTTTTGAGTTCAACCTATTTAAGTCAAAGAACAATTTCCATTAAAATAAAAATGTTTATATTTTTGCTTCATTCATTTATAGTTAAAAACAATACAATAAAATTTGACTAACACTAGTCATTTTTAGTTTAAATTAAATATTTAAAACTTGTTAAAATACCTATAAAGGTGTTAAAAAAAAAAACAATTTAAAATATAACTATTCTTGTAGAAACTAATAATAATATTACAAATATACAATAAAATCAATTAAAAAGTTTATCATGTAATCAAACTTAGTCAAGAAATGTTGGAGTACTATTACAAATGTTGGATAATGATGGCAAAGGATGGATAAAAAGATAGCACCCTAGAGAGGATTAACTCGAATTTTTAAATCTCTTTTCATCTTTCTTGGAGAACCTACTGAAACATCCCAGATGGGTGAGGAACTTCAAGTTTTTGGAGCTATACATAAAGTATGATAAACGATAAAGGCAGGGACAAATCCAAACCTGTATTAGCAACGCTGGGGCAGTATGGCCATAATATATTTATAATTTTTTTGTTTTTTTTTTTTGCTTTTTTTATTAAAAATAGTTATAAAAAAATTGATTGCAATAAATTTTTTTTTTTAATTTTGCTTTAAAAAGCAATTTAACTCATAATTATTATAACTGTCACTTGGTTATTAATCAAACATTAGATTTAAAAAAAAATGAATTTAAACTTATTACATAACTCCATTTAATGTTAATGGAAAGTATAAAAATTTGTTTTTTTGAAAGTTAAATGATTTTAAAATATTCATTCAGAGTGAAATTAGTTTCTACTTTTTGACAGTTAAGAGTTAACTGTTTTTAAGAACAAATGAACAAAAAGTAAAAATTTCAGTTATAAAAACAATTAAACAAACTTAATTTAACAAATAAAACAAAGACTTAATTTTAAAATGAATGAACTTTTGATCTTAGCTTGCTATTTTATTTTACATAAGGAAAATAAAAAATGGAAAAGAAAAACTTTTTCCAAAAATTTTGTTTCTTTTCATATTCTTTTTGACTTTAACAAAAATAACAACATCTTATTTGAGAGTTGAATTAATATATGAACATCAATGAATAGGAGTTCTCTCAATACTAATTTTTTATTAATTTAAAACAATTTTTACTAGATTTTTGATGTTAACATCTTTAGCTTCAATTTGATGATTTTATATATATATATATATATATATATATATATATATATATATATATATATATATACACACACACATATATATATATAAAATCATCAAGTTTACTGTAATTATCTCTTTTATTTAAATGGACAGTATTGCTATAGTAAAAGTTTAATAAACAGAATACATTTACAGCTAATATTTTAATCAAATATAAAATAATAGTAACTACATTTATTAAATATTTTGAATTCAAATAGTTTCAATTTCTATCAAATTACTATTCTATCAAATGACTATCTATATTCTATCATATATCCTATGTTATATTACTATATGAATACAAAACTATTTTAGTAAGTGTTTAGTAGGCGTATTAATTTAATTTTGCAACTACTAAAATTAAAATAACTGAAATATAGTTACTAAATGTTTAATATACTTAACGCAGTTTATCATATCACTGATAGGGCTTTATAGAATTTGTTCAGCATAATAATGACCAACAGTGAATTTTTTAACTTGAAATTTATTATTAAAATAAAACTTGTAAATCTGCTTGAGCAGCGCGTTTTTTTTCTTATGTTTTAACAAATAAGGAAATACAAGTAAATTAACTTATGAAGAACTAAATGACCTTTAAAATGGACACAAACGTGAAAAAAATTTAACAATATTAAAAATATTATTAAGATTATATACCCATCATAGTTATTTGTGGCAAGTACTATTGAAGGACTTGAGTATGCATTGCTTGTAACCCATGTACAATGGACAGCATATAAAACAAACATGGTGAATATAAGTGCAATAACCATCATCTTTAACTGACTTCCAGCATTTTGAGCTTCATTATCAGATTCATTTTCAGTTTTTTTGGCAAGAACATCTTCATCTTCTTTTCCCTGCAAAAATAGTATAACTTTTAAATGCTTTTTAATTTCATTACTTTTTAAATTCTAAAACAGAAAAATTAATGTTCATAAAAATTATTTGCTAAAATTTTGAACAATTTCTTCTTAAAAAGTAATATGGTAAAAATATTGTAAAAAAATGCAACTGACATTTTAGACATCTAAAACCTGCAATATTTTTTTTGTAGAAAAATTTAATTACTGAATCGTTTTGGTTTCAATTTAAGTATATTAATTTCAAAAATCACCTTTCTGCTTAACTAAATAAAATTAGGAGCTCAACAAACATTTTTGTATTCATATAGCCATTTGCTTACTAAATTAAAATTAGGAACCATAAGAACACTTTGAGCTAACCTAATTTTAATTTTATACTATTTATATATATTGTAAATAATATTATCATTAAAAAAACTGTTTTTTTTTCTTATTTAAACTTACCACTCCACTTTTGCCAGAAACTTCTTTCTTGGCATTTTCAATTTTCTTGCTTTTTTTCTCTTCTTTTGAAAGAACAGGCGAGAGTAGATCTTTTTCACAGAGATAATGATCTAATGTATTAGAAAAGCCAATTGCTGCCAAGACACAGACACATGGTGTGAGTGTCAACATTAGTCGAACCATTACACCAGCAAAATAAGATGCAGTAACAGCATAAAGTATGACTAGAAAAATTGAAAACTTTAGAAACTAAGATAAAAATTGAAAAAAATTGCAAAATAAATATTCATCCCATAATAAAACAATGTTAAAAGCAGTATTTTAAATGTGATTTATATTTCATCATTTTAAATAGGAATGTACCGGAATTCCGTTCCAGATGGAATTTGTGACTTTCTGGATCATTCTGGTTCTGAACAGAATTACAATATTTCAGGCCGGAATACTAGAATTTATTTTTCACCTTTTTATGACAAGACATGTGACACAGACTGTGTACAATAGTCTCTTGCTTAAATGCCCACCCAATTAGTTCTGCATCCTAGGTAATTGCCCGTTTAGGCCCAAAATATTTGTGTTTCAATTTTTTACTGAGTTTTTTGTTGAAAGTGTAATTATATCAGAAAACGTACCTATTATTTTCCTGTGTTAAGTTAAAAACTAGTTTTTATCATAGATAATGATTTTATCAGAATGTAAATAGATGAATAATTTGAATTTGAATCCAAGTAAATGATAAATTTTGTTTTAAAGAGATAATAATAAGTTTTAACGATTTATCAGCCAAGTCTCATTGAAAAAACTTTAATAAAAAAACTTCATTTTAAATTTAGCCGTCTATTCACAGTTCAATTCACAGAATCAATTGACTGTGAAGATTCTCCAACATATACTAAAGCAATCAAGGAAGATGTTGAAGATTGTTTGTCTCTCGAAGAAAATAATGACAATGCAGTTGCTATGGATAACAACTCTGATGAAGAAGAAGCTAATAATGATGAGATAGACGATGGTACAGACTTCTTAGGTATTGAATTTATAAGAGTATTTTTTTGAATATATATTTCTTTTTCACTGGTGGGCATTAAAGGGCGGTTTAAAAGTATAATATATAATAGCAATTTATGTTCAATTAAAATCTCTGCTAATGATCTTCTAATTATTATTTAAATTCTGCTTGACGTCCTTTATGGACGAATCCTTACACCATCATGTAATAAATTGTATCATTAAAAGAAATGTTTTAAAAATAGAAAAAAGGAAAAGTTTTTGAAAATAGTAAACACGAGCTCGTAAGATTCATATTTTACATTTATTGTGAGTTAAATTTAATAATTAATATTATCTTTATGAATAAATCGCATAGCAAAGTTAAGTTACAATTACAAGGTCTCAGCAAAAACAACCACAAATATTCAATTTATTCATAGTCATAAAATGTTATTATGACCGAAAAAAATAAAATTTATGCAGTAGGGTAGATTAGGACAACATGAGCACCTCAAGTGAAAATTAGAATATTTTGAAAAATAATGATGCTAGATCCAAAAATTTTGTGAACAACCAATTTTTAGGAATCCCTACTCATGATACACTTAGATATTTGGGCACCTAAAATTATTTCTTAAAAACAAAGAGGTTTTAAAAAAGTTGCAAAAGTACCAATTTAAAGTGCTCATATTACCAAGACCACTTGGCAATATGAGCACTTTAAATTAGCTATAAAAAAAAAATAACATTAATTAAGTAAAAAAATACCATTCTGACAATTAGAACTAATTTTCAGATTATAATGATTCATTATTAATAAAATCAAATTTTTAGCCACTTTTTGTTGAAACAATACTATTATGGTTTCCGTAAAAAAAAAAAAAAAAAAAAAATAGTTCGTTATTTTTTCAGTTTTATTGACCCACCCTTTGAAAAATAAAAATTCAAAATTTTTGAATTTAAATTACAGAAGAATATTTAGTATTGTTAAAATACTAAAATTTTTTACTATGTTTTGTTTTTATTCAAAAAGCAATTAAAACCGCTGCTATTTTAAGACTTTAAACTAGGTAATTTCAATAAAAAACACTGGGTAATTTGAGCATGCTTGTATTACACAAAAATGTCATCTTTGAAAGTCAAAACTGAATGTTTCTTTGCCTTGTTTTTCAAACAAAAATTGATTGAATTTTTAGCTAACATATTTTTCTTTATGAAAAAATTATTTCATTATTTTAGCACCAAAATTTCATGCCATAGAATTATTCATACGTCATGATATTATTTTAACAATGCAAAAAATTAACAGCGTTTTAATTAGATGATAGCCGCTAATTACTGCATATAAATTTATGCTAATTGTACTGATTCCTTTTATTGATTTAAGTCGATTCAAAAAATACAAAGCAACTTTTAATTCACTGCTTACATTTAAGAAATTTTTAGACATGCTGACATTACCAAAGTGCTCTTATTACACTAATCTACCCTATATACACAAAATAAAAATGTTTGTATCAACAACAAAAAGAAAAAAAAAAAAAAAAGATCGAAGATTCTTTTTTTTTTTTTTATAAATTTTCCCCCCTAAAATCATGATTGCTTGTCCAAATAATATGAGATTTTAAATAAATATGTTGTTTAGGTAAAATGAACATCATAGTTGAATAACCTGATCATTTATTGGCAATTTTTCATAATTGTAATCTCTTTATTGAGCTAGGATCTATAAGCACATATTAAGGCACTTTTTCATTAAAATTAAGTTAAGGCTGTTGAGCAGAATTGATCCAAAGAATCAAAAATTGTATTCTTTAGATTCACAAAAGGAGTAATAAATAAGTTTTGAAAATTATATAAAAAAGAGAAAAGTTTCTTAAATTATTTTAAAAACTTGAAGCAAAAAAAAATTATAAGGTCTAAAGTTCTTACTTGAACACAATAAGCTGACAAAATCATGTTAATACCAACCCAGTTAGCACAGGACATAGGAAAGACGCCTTTTAAACATTTTGAACATCTTTTGAACATATTGGACAAATTTGAACACATTGACATTCAAAAGACATCTTTTTTAAGGCCTGTGCCTACTAGGAAATAAAAGAATTCAAATAATCTATAAATTGCCTTAACTACACTGAGCCATTAAATGAATTTCTAGTACCAATTTGTAATAACCATTAAACTTTTTTTGTATTTAACAGAGAAGGATTTTTAAAAATATTAGTCTAGAAATGATAGTAGATAAGTAAAAAAAGATTTTAGTTGATGCTGATAAGTAAAAAAGTTTATAGTCATTGCAACCACCTAAAACAGTTGATATAAAATACCTAACAAAAAACAAAAAAACAATAACTAAGAACTTACCGTAATATACCGTAATATAAACGGCTTCTCAATATTTTGAATAAACTTTGTTAAATCAAATAAATTTGTTAATTTTTTAGATTGTACTTTGTTTCTTGCTAACTTTTTTATTTAATATTAGCTGATGTCAGAAGGTATTACAAAGAATTTGCAAACATTGAGAAGTGAATTTTACAAGCAAGTTACTGAGAAAATCCCTAAATTCGCTAAGAAAATTCCAATTTTTCTAGAGACATTTTCACAGTTATGCAATTGCATAGTTATACCAATAACAGCGGTTTTATTTCAAGTTTTACACATTTAATAAATTAGAATTTCTTATACCATTTTTCTATTAGTATTTAATAATAATTAATCTTCAATAATTTTTAGAATTATTATTAAACTTTAATTTGGCAAACTTTATTTAGAGAATGGAATTTTTTTTTTTACTTTAAATCAGGAATTTTAATTTAATGAGCATTTGGGATTACTGCATTTGACGGACCCCACAGGGCTAGTTTACATCCTGATATATTGATATATATATATATATATATATATATATATATATATATATATATATATATATATATATATATATATATATATATATATTTATATATGTATATTTATATAATAGGTTTTATATATATATTATATTATATGCTGAGGTGTTAAAGGTAAAAAAATTACATAAATACAATTTTTGTTCAAGCAGGAATTCGGGCTGGAATTTTATTAACGATTCCAGCAAATTTGGTTCCGGTCGGAAAAATTTCCATTCCGGTACACTCCTAATTTTAAACAAGTTTATAATTGGTTTCATTTAAACCACAGAATGTTAAAGTTATTTAAACATAACAATTCCCAATCATTTAAAAATTAAATTATTATAATTTGTAGATAGTACATATTTTTATTCTCTTAAAGAATAAATGTTCATTTTAACTACATGTAATAAAGTTTCTTAGTAACAAAGGAAACTTACTAAAAACTCTTTCACTGTTTACATTTTTTACACACAGCCAAAGTCCATAAGGAAATACACATATAAGTATGTGTAAATCAAAAAAGAAAGATACCCATGTTGTAGGCTGATGTTCAGATACAGAAGCAATAATTGGAATGTGAATCTTCGCATATCCAGTGTCATATAAGGAATAAAATCGACCACTCCATGGCGCAACATACCCTGATAACAAATCAAATCTATTTTAATGACCATAAAGTATTAAAAAGCTAAATTTAATTTGTTTTTAACAAACCTGCATATGTCAAAGCAACTACAGAACAAAAGACAACTCCAGCCATAGCAACAATTGCAAAATTAAAGAGGTAAACAAATTCACTTCGTGACATTTTATCTCTGAGATACTTAATGAATGCATAGGCTTGCAAAAGAGCAAAAACACCTACAAATAACAAGAAAAAAATTTAAATTTGTCAGAAAAATATATAAAAACTAAAAAACAAACAAAAAAATAATAATAGCTTGCTCACTCGAAACTTTTACATATGTATTACAATTTTTGCATAAACAACAGTTAAACTACAAAATATATGTTTAAAACAAGAATTATATAAATTTGTTTCAATTAAAATTTAAACAATAATAAGTATACTAAACTTTAAGTTATATCCCATATTTAGTGCTGTTTATGAAAATTGTTTATTTCCTACCCAAACTTCTCTACCCTTTACCAGGTGCAGCCCACCACAAATGCGCAAAAAAAAAACTTACAAACTTGATATTGTAGAATGACTCTAGCAGCTATTTCATACAATCCCAAAAAAAAAATACTAACAGTATCCAGTTCTTTCTGTACTGGTATGGATTTATATAACTTCAGGAGATAATTTTATTTTTCTACTCTGTTTATTCTTTCTTGTTTTGTATCAATATTTTTGTGCTGCAATTTAACAGGCTTAACTTTGCTGGTTACAACTTTATTTCTTTATTTTTTTAACAATTCTATTGCATTTTAAAAATCTGATACACAGAGGTATAATAGTTCTTTCAACTAAAGCCATAGCTAATTTTATTTTGTAGTCTAGCTTTTTTTCTAATCCTCCTTTGATGAGTAACACTCCATTGTAAATATAAAGAATAACAGTTATAGTAATGTCAAAAAGTGACAATAATACAAACAAAAATAAATAATAAGGATTGACCATCAAGGACAACTTTAAAACTGCAGTAAGAAAGGAATGATACAACAATTTAAAAACTTTCCTAGATACAACATTCCTCGTTACATATGAAGTGAGCTCATGTAGACCAATATGCCTGACTTTATCAAAAGCCTTTGATATGTTTAAAACAATAGCCTTTTCCTCACTGATTCCATCTAATGCACAACAGAATCTTTCTTTTATAACTTATTAAATAATTTAGAGGGTAATAAAAGTGTTTTGGAGAACGCTTATGTAAAGTGTGTTGTCACTGTGACAAGAGTGTTGTCTGAACCTCAAGCTATAGAAGATTTTAAAAAGAAATATTGTTAGCAAAAAAAAGCAGTGATGTGAAAGTTAAACAATGGATTGAATTGTTTTTGTTGGATGACAGGAAGAGAGTTATTAGATTTAAAATATGAAAAGAAAAAGTTCTTTGTTAATAGTTCTGACTTATTTTTGTGATAGATAACAGATAGGTAACAGACCATAAAAGATGATAGGTAACAGACCATAAAAGATGATAGGTAACAGACCATAAAAGATGATAGGTAACAGACCATAAAAGAATGTTAGAGTTGCTTTTTAAAGGCATTGTTAAAGATTTTTAAAAAGTTTCTAGAATATAATTTCTAAGATAAAATACAAGGAAATAAACCCCCAGACCTTTTGCATCAAAAAATTGATGCAAAAGATCTGGCGGTCGATTGCAATAATAAAAAGAATCATTAGAATTTAAGCCAATTTGAGTAAGTCAATTTTATGCCTCTCACTAATTAGTTTTTATCACACATCTTTTGCACCATCTCAAAAAAGTCCAATAAGAGAGGTTTGAGGAGTTCAAATAGTTCTATTCAATATTTGATCAATCTCTGAAGCTTGAACTAAGTAATCACAAATTTCAATATCTGGAAATATTTCTGGTTCTCCAATTCTCAGTTTATTAAAAACCGTGAATGATGTTTTAATAAAATGGCCAATTTATAATACTGCAAAAATTAATGCATAAACAAAACAATAAATTTATTACTGCAAAAATAATAACAGCCAAATCTTACATATTTTAAATTATTGTTTGTTTAACCACCAGGACACTTAAGCATTATAAATAAATAGAAAATTGTAAAAAAAAAAAAAAAAAGACTAAAGGTCCCAAAAATTTCCACTGTAATTTAAAAATCAACCAATACGAATTATACTTCTGTCTATAATTTTATATACATATTTGCATAAGAGAGTTACAAGCATTTAACGGTTATATTTGATTTGTAAGAAAATAGAATAACATTTATATAATATATAATTAGATTTATATAAGTATTTTAAACCTTTTTTCGCAGTTTCTTTAAAAAACGTTTAATCACCATTAATTTCCTTTAGACTGTTGTGATTTGCAGTTGTTTTTTTGATATTACATTATACTGGATGCTTTATTTTTCTAGTTTTATTATCAAATCATAATTTTTAATAAAAATAAAAAATAATAGCAATAATACGGTTTTAAAAGAAGATTTCATATTATAATTTCAAGATCTTTATGGAATAATAACTTTTGAGTTAAGTGATAAAAACAGAGCTTTTTATCACACGGTTTTTCAAAAACTAAAAACATAAAGACCAGAAGCATTTCCAGATATTACATAATTGTAATATCTGGATATTACATAATTGTAATATCACTTAGTTCAATCCTTGTTCTGTATCTCAGTCAATAATTTACTCAATATTTTAGAGAATATGTTTTAGAGCTTTGGGTTATTTTCTTAAAAAATGATTCTTAAAAAAGGTATATAAGAATAATAGTAATTATATAATAACAATCATTAATAAATAGACATTTATTTACCTGCAGCAGCCATGTGCTCACTTGTTCGAATTGGCTGAAACCCAACAAATGGTATTTGCATTGAAAGAAGCAGCCCAATGATGAAAAAAATGCTATAAGCTATTAAAAAAAATTAAAGCATATATATTTCTGCTACAAAGTTAAAATAATACAAAAAATAAGCAAAATACATAATACAGAAGTTGAAAATGTAAAAAAAAAAAAGATTTAAAGAATCT